GCTCTTATTCCGCTGCAAGTAGTTCTTCACTCAAGAGTTTCCTCACCCTGAAATTCCTCAGTGAAGAATTCATAAAAATCGCCTATTCACCCCCCTCTAGTCAATATAACGCACTTTCACCAGCTGAACCATTTTTTGCATTTTCTCAGAAAACCCCATGACTGTTTCAGGTAGTCAACCCGGAGTTCATATTTAAGTGAGAGGAATCATTTTTATTTTGCGTTTTAATAGACCCCCCCTGATTTTTTTGATTAAGCAATCCACAGTTTATCTAAAATAATGATTTTTTAAATCATCCATATCTTTTAAACCACAACTCCAATTTCAACATGTTATATATTAAATTTGATTAGAAAAATATGTAGAATCCAAATATGATGTTATTTTTAGCTGTTACATATTCCTAAAATATTTTTTTGGGTGCAAACTTAATCTATAATGCACAATTTCTTTTTCTTTCATACCGACGATGACCGAATTGCAAATAAACACTCATTAAAACCAGATTGAGAGGAAAGAAAACATCGATAACCATGCATGCACACCTCTGAAAAACCAATCAGGGAAAGACAACATATTTTTCATCTTATTTCGAGCGAGTGCGCTTGCGCGCGCGCGCAAGAGAGAGAGAGAGAGAGAGAGAGAGAGAGAGAGAGAGGCCTTAGGACTAACCACAATCAAACGTGTTTTCATTCTGTGAGCACCAAGGCCACCGTCGGCAACACAAATGTGATGCTATGTTGAAATAATGGACATGGACCTATTAAGGTCATGAGTCATGGTTATTGGGCTAAGAGCATGTGTTATTTTCACTCCCGTTGCAACACATGGGATCTTTTGCTAGTATTGTTTGAAATCATCTTCATAGATTGTTGCATGGATATGTTATCATTTTTTTTGCAAAAGTGTGAGCCGTAAAAAAGTTCTGTGCATGATATTACTATTCCATGTCTTGCCACAAGGGCATAGTGATGCGGAGTATCCTATGGACATCACCATGTCAAGAAACACATGCAACATCTACTCGAACATATAAAAATGTATCTTCTCCTTTACACGTGTCTTTTTGTCCCCTTCAATGATGGTATACTACTTGACCCTCCATTGTGCATGTATAGGTTTGAGCGGAGCTTCACGGATGACGAGGAGGACTTCAGGTGCAATAGAACAACTACACCATCCAAGAGGGAAGCTTGGAAGCAAAGAAGGAATCACAAGGAAGAAGCCAACCTACAACTTGCAGGAAACTTGGACAGTCGAACTTAACCTCCGACATACCCCGAGCTCTCGTCCATGTCGGACATTGCCTAGAAATTACCTCGGAGTGTTCGACATGTCGAAACCTCCAACTCGTACTTGCGTGCACTGAGTTGGGCCAAGCCCATGTATCCCCTCCTCACTTACCTTTTCATGGCAGGACCTATATATATTCCCTTCACCCACCTTAGATTTAGGGTCATCTAAGATTAGGACCAAAACTATAGAGCTTAGTTCATATATCTCCTCATGTCGGACTCCTCTTAAGAGAAGAACCATTTATGGTTGTCAAGACCCCTTAGGGGAAGAACCATGTATGGTTGTCAAGGCCTCTTAGGAGAAGATTCCTCCATGGAACTTAAGACCCATTTCTCTTTGAGTTTTAGATGAACTACCATTTGTATCTTTTCCTTTGTTGTTGTTGGATGCTTGAGATCCCTCCCCTTGTCTTGTGATTTGAGTGCTTGTGTGTGGACCTTGTCCAATAGTGTCCTATTGCGTGATTCCCCCTTGTGTTCTTCCTCACATCCACCTCCAATTCGTGAAGATCGGGCAAACAAGGGCATGAGCCTACATCACATAGTGTTACCAGAGTTAACTTGACATGATACGATTCCCATGAAAGTGTCAATAAGATTGAGACAACCTCTCCACCAAAATGAGCCAACATTTCTGGTAGCATGGGGAGGAGGACTTTTGTAGTAGGCTTTACATATAAGTTGAACCCATGCAATATCTTCATGATTGTAGAGCTTGTGTAAAATTTTCAGCAAGAATGTAGTATTTGCGGGCCATGAGATTTAGTACTCCAAGACCACCTTGTTCTTCGGGTCTGCGGATGTTCCACGCTGGAAGTGTGGGGTGATGAAAGATGCATGTCCATTGTCTCGATGATACTAGATGTTATATAGTGTTTCGCCTCTTTAGGATTAATATATTTCAATTTTTATTGTTGTATATGTCAGTGATAAAATGAGAAGGCATGTACTTTGTAATTGACCTGAGAAAATGACAAATAAAAAATAATGTTGATTTAATATTTAGTACCAACACCAATTTTCTTTTGTTCTTTTATCGTTGTTTATTACCTTTATTACAATGAAGCATGTCTTCTCCCCTAAGAGTGATGTCCAATATGTTTGAATATACATTTTATACGGAGAATAACCACTAAGAGCTGAGTGCATGCACTCGTTCTGGGGAAATAAGGTCATGAAAAAGGAAAATGAACACGAGAAAGTGATGTTACATTGTTGTTTATTACTGTGCAAGATAAAACTCCCAATGCCACAACTATCTCTCAGACCTCGAATCACAAGACTTGTTTGTAAAACTCCAAACATGAGCATAAACTAACATCATCCATAAAAATTAAAGGTGCACTTTAAAGTAGTATTGTTTAATTCAAAACGTATTCGCAGTGTGTGTATTTTTTGCACCAAGAATTACCCTCACATCATTTGTCTATTTGATCCCAAATACATGGTGCTGTCCCACATTGTACACACTGACAGAAGGACCCACAAAAGTTCCACACAAAGCCTGGGAGGCCCACTCCGCAGTGACCCAGGCACCTTCTGTCCGCCCCCAACCTCCTCCACCCTCTCCATTTCCCAGTCCGCATCGCCCCCCTCCTCCCCACCCCAGATCTCCCACCCCGAACCCTACCATGGCGATCGCGGCGCGCGCCCTGCGCCGGCTCCCGCTCCACCTCGCCCCCGCGCTCGCCCGCCCCTTCTGCGCCGTCTCCCCCGCCGCCGCGGCCCCCGCCCCGGCCGCCGCGTCCGCCAAGGTCGCCGACCGCATCGTGCGCGTCCTCGCCATCGACCTCGACGGCGGGCGCCGCGAGGTGGTCGGCCTGGCCGGCCAGACCCTCCTCCGCGCGCTCGTCAACGCGGGGCTCATCGAGGCGGCCTCCCACCGCCTCGACGACATCGACGCCTGCTCCGCCGAGTGCGAGGTCCACATCGCGCAGGAGTGGCTCGAGAAGATGCCCGCGGCCTCCTACGAGGAGCGCTACGTCCTCACGCGCGCCTCCCGCAACCGGGAGCTCAACAAGCACGCCCGCCTCGGCTGCCAGGTCGTGCTCGGCAAGGAGCACCAGGGGATGGTCGTCGCCCTCCCCGAGCCCAAGCCCTGGGACATCCCGTAATGCGGCCCCCTTCCATGGCGCGAGGCGAGGCGAAATTGTGCGGCGCTTCGACATGCCGACCCGCGAGCCTTCCTTCCTCGCCCCTTCCGGTGCTTTCATGGTACGGATTTGATGAAAGAATAATGAATTTGATGGGCAAAACTTAGAGCTGTTTCTGAAACTTTTATTTTGTTTGAATGTGGATGATGTAATGTGGAATCCCTTGCCATTTACGTCAGTTTGTTGTTTGTTTTGCTTTGTACATTTGATGTATTATTGGTTGCAGCTCAGCATGTCCTCTCTGCACTCCATTTCTTCCTCGTACTGAATTTTTAGTGCTTCCATAGTTCAATGAGAACTGCTGCCCATTCTGTATTATTGCATATAGCAATCAACACCCAGAAATGCTTTTCTGTCTGAAAAATGTAGTCTGACTCCATATGCACATGTCCTGAATCATGTTCTTAGCTACCGCCAGTGCAAATGTGGCTATAACTTAGAACTAATATGACGAGAGTGTAGGTAGTTTCGATCTTGATCTTGGGTTTGAGCAGATGCAAGATCACATTTGCGTTAGAAGGATGGCAGTTTAGAAGACCAAAACAATTCGGTGCTGTTACATTTGTAGTCTGATTACCATTGGTTGGAACCAAAATGCTTCAAAAGCAATTCAAGAATCAATTCAAAATTGACAAGCTTTGCACGCGTAAATCTGGTTTGGAGAATATATCCACAGTAGCCTAATGCCAGCGAATAAGACTAGGCCAGGAAAACTTTGTAATAATGTGCATATACCTGTAAGAATGTGCTGCTTCAAGGAGCACAAATAGACTAGGCCAGGAAAACTTTGTAATATTGTGGTGCACCTGTTTCAATCAATTTCAGTGAGCCATTCAGAATCATGTTGCATAACTAACTTGATCAAAGCAAATGTTGGTGAAAGAACTAGCCTATGGCACTTGATTGCCATCTCCCAGATGTTGTCGTTGACAACGATTCTCAGGATCGTGCTTTGGCCACATTTATGTTCCCCATGGAAGTATGTCTACCTCTGAGTCGTTAAATCTGAAACAATAGCTTGGTCTGGACATTGCATGATTTTGGTTAGATCGTCAGCCTGAGAATTGTTTGTCTGGAATCCCTTTCCATTACCTCAATTTGTTGTTTCTTTTGCTTTGTACATTTGATGAATTGTTGGTTGTTTCACATCATATCCTCCCTGCATTTCTTTCTCATACTGAATACTATGCTTGTATAGTTTGTGGTGATGCCGTGAAAACTGCTGCCCATTCTGAATTACAGCATATATATCAATCAACATCCTAGAAATGCTTTTTACTGTATGAAAAAAATGCAGTTTACCCCATCTACACTTGTGCTGAAGTGTGTTTTTAGCTATTACCAGTGCAAATGTGGCTACAACCTAGAACTGGCGTGATGAGAGTTCCCTAAGTATTTTTTGGACATGATCTAGGATGTGGGCGGATGCAAAGCTCATATTTGCATTAGAAGAATGGTAGTTTAGAAGTCCAATTTTTTTTGAAAGCAACTCACGGTTAAATTCAAAAGTGACAAAGCTTCGCATGTGTAAATCAGATTTCGAGAACATATCCACAATATCCTAAGTGCCAGCGAACAGGACCGGCATTTCCTGTGTGCATGTTTCTGTAAGAAATGCCAAGTCAGGAAAACTTTGTAATATTGCGTCGCACCTGTTGCAACAAATTTGGCCGAGCCATTCAGAATTTCTAAAATCGTAGCATCGTGTTCCGTTATGAGAGTTGATGCCGCGCAGCACTGTTTATTACCCCAGAATTTCACTAGGATGTAATTGTCCCTGTCTGATGTTATTGTTCACACATCATCAGAACAACAAAACGGTTAAGTTGGTGTATTTCCATGCATTGCTTATTTCACATGGATGTAAGCTGTCCCTGCCTCACCCCAGAATCCCAAATGGCTAGAGTTGTTGTACACCATGCATTGCTTTGGTTGAGACTTGCAATCTGTCAAATGTACCATGCATTGCTTTGGTTGAGACTTGCAATCTGTCAAATGTACCGATTTTGCAGAGTCGTTTATTCTATACTACTTATAAAAGAGCAAACATTATCTTCTCTAAATGCACCTCACAAAATGTACACAGATACATTACCACCATATGATTAGTCCCACTAAACCCAATCTAACGGCTAGCCTTAACCTAATCTGTTCTTTGTGTGTACTTAGCAATTTACATTGACTGACCGTACTCCATCACGGAGGAAAATATGACAGTCTACGCCTGGTCAATTAGGAAACTATAATCACGGACACATCCTATTAAGAAACTAATCACGGACACATCTAATTCTTAGAAAACTAATCACAAACCCATCCTATTATTAGGAAAAAAAATCACGCGCGCATCCTGTTATTAGGAAAATAATTACGAGCCATCCTATTAGGAAATTAATCATGGGCACATCTAATTATTAGGAAAATAATCATGGCTGCATCCTATTAGATAACTAATCATGAACGCATCTAATTATTAGGAAACTAATCACGAGCGCATCCTATCGTCTCCTATCAGGGAATCGCGATCGCGAGTCGCCAGCCGTCACCAGCCCACCACCCACGTGAGCCACAGTGGGAGACACGCGAGGAGCTGTGGCTTCCTCCGAACACACACACGTGCCGTCGCCGCCTTCGTCTTCTGCCTGGAGGCCAGGTCACTCTTCTACTGACTGCAACGACTTCGTCCACATCCTGGGCATGCTCTCCGAGAACCACCGGCATCCGCGTCGACTTCAGCTCCATCCACAATACCCACGCTGACAACCACCCACTGTCGAGGTCCTTCAAGTGGGGGCAACGCTGAGTATCTTGGACGAGTATAAGCGGGCCAAAAAATCTGCCCCCACAGCCATGCATGTAGATTCGTCTGGTCGCCAACCATCGTCGTCCCCAGGGCGGCGCAGGTATCGGCCACTGTGCAGCAGGTGAAGCTAATCACGGCCCCATCTCACTCGCCCGAAGCCACCGCCGACTTCCTCAGCTCTGACGCGTGCTGCTCCATTGGACACGCTTGTCCGGTACTCACGCATGGACGACGTCGTCCAAATCTAATCCCGGTTTATGGAGGCCGCCGCCTCAAAGCTGGACGACGGACTCAGCTGTGTCGACAATGCCGCCCAGTTGGTGAGAGGACACGGTCGCCGCGGCCGTTCACATGCCTGAACGACGAAGACGCTCGCCTTGACGCGAACGCACCACATGCATGCATTAATTAGGTACGTACCAAGTGTTGTTTTTTTACTGTCATCGCTACCTCGCCGGTGGTGACACATCTAGAAGTACAGGAACTAGAGATGAGACAATGAGAAACAGAGGAGCGCTGGAGCGCACAGAGAGACGCTCGCCTTCTTTCTTTCTTTCTTTCTTTCTTTCTTTATTTTTTCACTGATTTTCGCGTACCTGCAACAGACATCCCTGTTTTTTGAAGTACTGACTACCGGTTATTACATGGCCAACTCACGACTACATAGTGAATTCACAGACAAATTCGCTGAACCAACACCTTACTTGCAGTAATGAAATTACGTTTCACTGAAAAAACCCAGAAGTTTGCATAAGTTTTAATGAAAAAAACTAAAGTTTGTATAAATTTTACTAAAAAACCCGAAGTTTGCATAAGTGTATTTGTTTGTCCAGCAGATACACGGCAATTGTAATTTTACATGAGCATTTTCATATCGTCCTTATCTATAGTTAAGTTAACATGTTTTCCTGATAGAAAACTTAGACCACATACAAGAGAAGCAAAAACTGCATGTTGATTATGATGATGATGAATGTAGGATATTTTGTGGTCATGGTAAATTCTCATATCATTTAGTACATAAACAATATTCGCAATTTTATTTTATTACCATCAATTGTGTTGAGTTTCTTTCATATATATGTATTGACCCTTTTCTTTAAATTAGATGTGACAGATGCGGAATGAACTCATACCACATGATCGCATACGAGCAATTCAAGAGGAATTGGCGGGATTCTTTCTTGACCATGTCATACATAAAGACGGAGAATGCCATGTGGAAGTTGAAATTGATTTTAGATGTTAGGGATTGTAAGAGATGTTATATTGTATATATGTAGTAGCGTCAGATAGATATATACAAAAACTTGTTGTTCGACCAATCTCGGAGAAAGAGAGGTCACTTCTCTCTGTATATGTTCATGACGATCTTGTGTAATCTTGACTGGAATTTGTTGGCACTGAAACGGTTCCTTAGCTTGTCCTAAGTGACATTTTCATGTGTGACTATACATGCATAAATGTGTGCATATGGAGAATCATGATGAATCTTTTAAATAATTTTGAGTTTTATACATTGGAAAAAGTGGATGGTCTTTTAATATAGGAGACATGTTGATTAAGGAGAAATGATATTTCAAATTATTTGTACGAGTTGGGAATAAGAGATCGTGTACTTTATAGGGAAATTTCAAATTTATGAATAAATTGTCTTGTATTAAGTTTAATATAATATGTTAATCCAAATAGACGCGTGACGCGCTTGCACACTTATTAGTCCAAATAGACGTGCGTTGCACGTGCACACTTACTAGTAGTACTGAAAAGGAAGAAGCCGGATGAAATGACATGTTTTGAGAGTAGTCTGAGAGATCATCAGCTATCTACTCACATATGCCTATTTAACATAGAAGCACCTCAGCTGTTCTCTTGGTATGCTACTGGCAACAAAACCTAATGCCCGGCCGCGGCCAAATAATGGCAGCAACAGCTAAATACACCACGAAGATCATCATCCAACATGAAAGAAAAATTGTGTTGACTCACGTAACAAAAATTTGTGTTCATTCACATAATAAGAATAACTCCGCCTATGTTGTCTCAATATAGCTGGTCCCAAGCCCGGGTATAGGAGGAGGGTTGTGATAGGCTTGGCGAGCCAACGTAAAAACTTAGCCACTTATGGAGATGAAACCCAAAAGATTTTCGTTGGGGC